TGACACTACATCTCTCCATCTAGTTTCGGGTCTGCCTCTGGATTTTCGATCTGGGATAGAAAGTTATAGTACCAAAATCCCCACGTAGTCAGGCGATATAACTTAGTTATATTTTACTATACAATTAAATACTCTGTACGTTGACAAGTATTATAATAAGTGTGAATTTGGTTTAACTATATTTGATTCGGATATTTAATCCGCAAAACTCATGAAACTAAAAACGTATTTTTTTTTACTCTCGTTACATTTTAATAATTTGTAGATAAGGTCTTACAAATCTTGCTCTATTGAAGCGATAATTTAAATTATAGTACTATTTAACTGACACCCACGTTACATGTCACATTCATCGACCGTACGGGTTAGGCACTGCTAGGAAGTAGATAATATTTCCCTTGATATGATATTAAAATTAAAAACCTTACAATATATTTTTAAATTGCAAGCTAGATATTTGCTGCTGAGTTATAAGATTATGCCTCTAATCGATTGAGTGAAAACAGTAACAAGACAGGTAGATTCGAAACAAATCTCAGATTTGTTTATTATGGACTCTGTAATTAAAGGCCAATAAAAAGATACATTTTCGCGATTATATAAATAAATACTATACATACATACATATATGTGTGTGTGTGTATATATATATATATATATATATATATATATATATATATATATATATACATTGTATCGGGATTGGGTAAATAGAGTGCCTCAAACTAGACGCAAAGAGACGTTAGTTATGAGTTTTCTTGAAGCTTCTAAAATATTTCTTTTATTTAAATTTAGCGTATTATAAATTAATATTTCATATAAAAGTTATTAAATTTAAATAAAAGAATAATAATGCCTTCATTTTTTTCTAAATATTAAACGCCAGATATTAAATATAATACAAATATCTGTTATTCGGTTAAAAGTTAAGTAATTTAAAACATAATATTTAAGTATGGCAAGCTTAAGCTTTCGGGCTAACACCCTGACCGCCCCGGTCTTCGATTGAAATACGTGTCAAGAAAACCGATCGCGTTGCTACCACGCCCCAGCCACGAAAATTGCTGGGAAATAAGTAAGCTTAATTAACTATTACTCCGATCCCTTCGTTATTTTATAGCGTGCTTCATGTTTGAGGTTGTTAGTGAATTGTTTTTCCCGAAAAGAAGATATTATATAGATATATACTAGCATTACCCGCGGCTCCGCCCGCGTTCAGATTACCAACAACCAAATTTTTAGGTTTTATATATTAGTATACTCTTACAATGCAGTTTTTGTATTTTTTCTTAGAAATGAGATATTTTACCGAGTTAAAAAGTATCCTATATGTTGACCCGGCTAACCACCAGCTATCACCATACAAAATTTCCTTAAAAATCCCTCCAGTGATTTTTCTGTGATGCGGTAACAGGCAGACAGACAAAAATTCTAAAAACTATAGATTCAGCCTTTTTATCGATAATAATGTTTATTTCAATAAGATTTTCCAAAAAATATTTAATGTACAGATTCGACTTAGTTACAATTTTATTATATGTATACGAGTAGATTAATGTGATAATTAAGTTAAAATATTATATACGAGTAAATACATTTTTTCTTCTTTCTTCATACATTTAATGAACATTATTTTATGTTACGAGTTTATTTTGTTATAGATAAAAAAATATTGTCATTGTTTTTTTTTGTTGCATCATTGTTTTTGCATACCCTTTTTAATTTAATTTTTATAAGGACCGTAATTAAAAACTTGTACATCGAATTTGTTCTGGTAGCTGTTTTATTTATTTCCATATTCCGTTGTGGTACCGTTTTATGAAAATCCATTCATCGGAATGAGAGGCTCAAAGTAAAGTATCTACTTGAATCCTCAAGTTGAATTAATTATACCTACCTTCTTTCTACCTTGTTATGAAAATTTTCTTAAATTGTATTATTATATTATTCATATTTTTTCGGTCGTTTTAAGATTGCAGTATTATAACATTTAACTCATTTTAGGTTTTGTCTGGATAAATCATAGCCTTTTAAATTACATGTAGGTGCTAAAAAAAAAACAAAGTATAGTCGTATCATGTTATTGACGAATTATGGAATATTAATTTCATTCCGTCCATACAAAAAACGGATTTATTGGCATAGACATCTTAACAAAAATATAATTTCAAAAACATAATTTTATAGAACAACTAGTATTGCACGCGGCTCCGCCCGCGTTCAGATGACCAAAAACCAAATTCTTAGGGTTTACATAATGATTAGTATACTCTTACATTGCAGTTTTTGTATTTTTTCTCAGAAAGGAGATATTTTCTCGCGGTAAAAAGTATCCTATATATTGACCCGCATAACCAGCTATCACCATACCAAATTTCATCAAAATTCCTCCAGTGGTTTTTCTGTGATGCGGTAACAGACAGACAAAAATTCTAAAAACTATAGATTCGGCCTCTGTATTGATAATAATGTTTATTTCAATAAGATTTTTTTTAAATATACAATGTACAGATTCGGCTTCTTTACAATTTTATTATATGTACCTATAGATATACCTATCTGGAACAAAACATTCACACGTATTTGTGTATGTACATATTTTGTATACACAATTTATTTTATTTCTAAAAGATTTTCTTCATCGTCCCCAATATAACACATGTCGCCGTGTTACTGTGCAACACGTGTTGTCAACTGCGGAATATTGACGCCTATCCTTTCATAAGGTCATATCGTAATGTCATTTTATATTCAGTTGATATAAAAATAAACCTGTGTAGGTGTTCTATTTCTAAAGTTTTTAAAGTTCAAAGTGCTTTTAAAACCCTTTCATATATTCTAAGTCATAGATAGGCAACGTTTTATTGCTAATTTTAAACACGGTTTTGATAAAATATTGATACTTATATGTATTATGAAATTTGACGACACGTTTAGCTCTGTTTGTAGTGACCCTACTTGCTGTGCCAGCGGTCGCGGGTTCGAGTCCCGCTGGATACATTCATTTGTGTGATGAACACGAATGTTTGTACTCCAGTCATGGGTGTTTATATTTATAATATGTATGTATTGAAAGTTATATATGTGTAGTGTATCAATTATCTGGTATCCATAACACAAGCCTTGGAGCTTACCATGGAACTAGATGATGGTGTGTGTTAATGTCCTAACATATTTATTTATATACATATTTTTATATACATATATGGATATATTTTAACTACAGTAATATAAGCTTTCACAAATAAAACGCAGAACTAAATTATATTTTCAAACTAGACAGATGATGATAAAGTGTAAATTCTTCGTAACTAAATCTAAAATCAATAGGATTGGTACTACTTAATATATAAGCACTTGTAATGAGATATTTCATCGCAGTTTCTCGAAAATATAAATAACTAAACCAAATTAAGTCGGTGTCGAAACAGTCTCCTGGTGTTCAAGTAATGATTCTATATATTAACGCAGTAGGGTACGAGACGAGTCCTTGACCTGAATTTGATTATAAGGCCAAACAAAGAATGCCCGTTTTGTTCAGACTCGCAAAATTTTTACAGTACATATAATCGTTACTGGTTTTAAATTAAACTGTATATATTCAGCCCTTTTTAACGTCCCACTGCTGGGCACGGGCCTCCCTTCAGTACGAGGGGAATCAGGTCGTCGTAGTCCACCACGCTGGCCAAGTGCGGGTTGGCGGACTTCACTTTTTTTTTTGAAAACTTGCAAGGTTCTCTAAGACATGCAGGTTTCCTCACGATGTTTTCCTTCACCGTTAAGACAAATGATAATCATGTTGAAAATGATTCGCACATGAAAATATCAGAGGTGCGAGACCCGGGATTTGAACTCGCTTCACTCGGTTTCCCGAGCGAGCGCGTTACCACTGGGCAGCCACTGCCTTATATTAAATAAATAATTTTTTTTTAATCATTAGGATAGAGCCTTAAATTACCATGAATGTCAGTTGCAGCGTAATTCCTTTTGCACTTTTGGCCAAATGATAAATTATCATGATAATTTATTTATTAGTAGTAAAGCTTGATTCTCTCTGTTATGTTTTCCCAGTATATATCCGGTATAAAGATTACTAGGGCCTTTGTGGGGTCGCGGGCAACCCGTATAAATTGAATAATGGGTAGCTCGCCTAAACTAAGTGGATCCAATTTTGCTTTACGTGCGCTAGACGCAATGTCAGCTCGTTCTTACATATTATTATAAGCTAAGAATTCCCACTCCATTTATTAGGGTATTTATGCACTAGTTTAGTGTATAATACTTTCTTAGATTTACGCGAATATTTGACATTTTAAATAAAACTATCTTTTCGAATTATTGTAAAAGTATATATTAATAGTGTTGCTTAGTAAATTGTCTTTTTAAATAATAGCAAACTAAATTAAAATTATTATTCTTAATTAATTTTACTTTTTAAATTATACATAGAACAATTATATGGCTCAAATATAATTAATATTATATTTTATATGTTTTTTTCTTTATGGTTATAAATATAATAATGGCAACACTAAATATAGATTACTAATTAATATTTTTAAAATTGTAATAATTTTAATGATAACAGCAAAAATTAAATAAATAATATTCCATATTCAATTATAAAACTTATTAAAATTATAAAAATGTGTAAAGTTATAAAATATTGTAATGTACTTGCTGCAATTTTTCATTTTGTTAATTGTGGGTAACAACTGTATCACAACTGTAATCTGTAACAACTATACCTTCGAGACATCGAACACCTCGGTCTCTCCCGCGACCATAATTGCTGTAAAGCATTTGAAACGTCGGGAACCAAAAATCAAAATAAATCCGCGAAATAATCCGAAGAGATAGTTTTATTTAAAATAGTTAGTGTATTTTATAAGTGTATACAAAAATCTTTTCTTAAGCCTTCTGCGAATGTGTACGGAATATCTATGTGCAACTAATTGTTTTTTTTTTTTAATTTTTACTAATACTATTTTTTTTTCTAGGCGCAAAGCGACGATGACGATGTCGGGCCCGACGATGTCAATGTCCCCGTCGAGGGTGGCTTCATGGACGAATTCTTCAGTGAGGTAAGGATATATTAAATAATTCTGCTTATTCATTGATTTCACATAAATAATACATGAAAATAGATACTATTATACTGGTATGTAGGAAATCGGTATGTATGTAGGTATGTGCATTAAACGTAGATGCATTTATCCGACTTTATACTACAACAGACACAAACCTATATAACTGAATTAACTTGATCGAAACGTAATTAAATTCCCAAACTAAAATTAGCGCACGCTGAAAGTGTCTATTTTTAGAGCACTCGATAACGTTCGTATACGGGATATTACTAGTCCGGCATGAAATGGGATATTGGATTTGAAACCATCTGTTTATTAAATCATTTTTCTTTTAGAATCATGGTAACATTTGCATAGGTCGATAGAGTCATTTAAATATGACAACTATCATTACGTGCACGCTATGTCGCACACATTGGATTACACAATAATACACTACACGGGGTTTAGTTTACAAGTTATCACGATTAAAGTATATACATACATATGTATCTAAACTTCAATTGAAGTAAATGGTAATGTAAGTTTTACACTTAGCATAAATTACCTAAATTATTATGCAACTAGCGTTGCCCGCGGCCCCGCCCTCGTTCAGATGACCCAAAACCAAAATCTTAGGTTTCACATATTAGTATACTCTTACATTGCAGTTTTTTGTCTTTTTTCTCAGAAATGAGACATTTTCCCGCGGTAAAAAGTATCCTATAGTTGACCCGGATAACCAGCTATCATCATACCAAGTGATGCGGTAACAGACAGACAGACAAAAATTCTAAAAACTGTAGATTCGGCCTCTGTATGGATAATAATGTTTATTTCAATAAGATTTTCCAAAAAATATTTAATGTACAGATTCGGCTTAGTTACAATTTTATTATATGTTTAGATAATAAATTACCTAATAATAATTTTATAAGTTTGTGTATAGAATTCCATGTTTTTTTCTCCTAAACGTTTGAAAATAATAATTAAAAAATATTCATCTCTTGTCTCGTTCGTCCCTTGTTATGTTCTCCTTGCATATTAACCCAGTTTTTATGATGTTGCTGATTGCGTAGACTAATTGTTCTGTACTCCCTAGATGTTTACGGCGGGTCCATATGAACATTTTATTGTTACAAGTTCAATCTTGGTTTAAGTTTTTTTTATTATATCTATAAAATGGGTTTGATTAAATTTTTGTAAATTAAAGCACGTAAACAGTTACAGTAAAAGTTTATGTGTAGTTTTATGAGATAATTGGATCATTCTGTATTGACGAAGTTAATATCGGCGTTGCATTATTTATTGCTATCCAAGTAGGTAATACTACAGCGTTGTTGATGTTTATTCTATACTAGTATTGCCCGCGGCTCTGCCCGCGTTCAGATGACCAAAAACCAAATTCTTAGGTTTTACATATTAGTATACACTATACTCTTAAATTGTAGATTTTGTATTTTGTCTCAGAAATGAGATATTTTCCCGCGGTAAAAAGTATCCTATATGTTGACCCGGATAACCAGCAATTAACATACCAAATTTCATCAAAATCCCTCCAGTGGTTTTTCTGTGATTCAGATAACAGACAGACAAACAAAAGTTCTAAAAACTACAGATTCGGCGTCTGTATCGATAATAATGTCTATTTCAATAAGATTTTCCAAAAAATATTTAATGTACAGATTCGGCTTAGTTACAATTTTATTATATGTATAGATAGTATGAGAAACGCTGCAGTATTACTCGGTATATGTATCTACATAAATATATACAACAATTAAGGTCTGTTTCTTGAAAATTTTGCTTACGAATTTGTGATTTAATGATGTGCATACGAGCTTTAAAAGCTCGTCTTTTTTCTATATTATTACTAAGTCATGTTCTTTTTATTTCTTTTTGAATAGACTTGTTCCCCTTCTAGGCGCTTTTAAAGTTGACGGCGAGTGTCGAGTGTCTCTAAAGACTAATTTAATCGCTAAAGCTGCGCCCGGGTCGTACAAAAGATTTAGTATATTATACGGCTAGCCTAGATACCGGCTGGGTATTCGACCTTGATTGTGAATGGAGATGAATAGAAAGTATATTATAAATTATAGTAAATATAATAAATAAATATCTGGTTTTTACTATATTATGACGTGTGAAGCCATGGATCGTGTAAATCACTACGATGTCATTGTACGTTACATCAAATATATCGTAAAGTAAAATTAATTATCTTTACTGAACTTCATGATAACCTAAATAGGTCCGCAAATTGTATTCAGACCTTTTTTTTAAAAAAATAGGGCCATATTTTCTGTGGGTATTTTTAAGATCTACAATTTTCTAGTACATACATCATAAACCTTTAGTTTTTAGCCAACGTTAACCATGTAGATATGCGTACGAGACAGTTTTTTTAGCAAAACAGCGTTATACTTCAGCCGTTTTGTGTTAAATATGTATCTATACCTTCCTCGTTTATCCCTCTTTCTATTAGTGAAAACTGTATCAAAATCCGTTACGTGGTTTGGAAAAAAAGGGAGTTAAAACTTACAGACAGAAGCAGACAGCGAATCTGTTTTATACTATAATTCAGATATAAAATAAAGACAGATAGGTATACCTACATAGATGAACCTACCTACCTATATAGATGAGCGTTTGGCGCTCGAACTAAATTTTGCATTATTTTCCTATGAAAATAAGAGACTACCGCTCTTAATTGGTAAATGTTAATTTAATAGAATAAACTGATAGTTATGTGAAATAAATCATTGAAATTTTAGTATAAAGGACAACTCGCCCAAACCAGTTACTGAATTTTCCCGAGTAAAAGGGGTTTTTCTGTAGTAAAAAATATCCTGATTAATAAGTTTAGTTAAAATTCGTCCATTACTTTTTACTTGAAAAGCAATCAGACATACAGACAAACAAACAAAAATTCAACAACTATTGTTTTGGGTCTATATTCCGTGCGTTGTTTTTTTTAAAATGCTTCATGTACAGATTTCGCTTTGTTTCTATTTTATTAGCTTAAAGATTTAATGAATTTAAAGACAAATAAAATGAGACTTAGTGGGAGGATTTTATTAGTGTATTTTTTTGTTTTGGAAAATTTTGTTCAATGCTCTGCTCGCGTAGTTTATTCATGTATAATGGCTCCTCTAGGGATCATAGTGTAATCTGATAGCAGCTTATACATTTGCCCTTAGTACCTACATCAAATCTATAGGTACATATAATAAAATTGTAACTAAGTCGAATCTGTACATTAAATATTTTTTGGAAAATCTTACTGAAATAGACATTATTATCGATACAGAATCCGAATCTATAGTTTTTAGAATTTTTGTCTGTCTGTCTGTCTGTCTGTTACTGCATCATGTAAAACATAAGACTTTGGTATTTTGTCATCTGAACGCGGGCGGAGCCGTGAGCAGAAACGGCTGGTGGATTTAGATCAAATTTAGTTCTACACTACACTACAGATAGAATATAGATAGTCATATTTGACGACGCGTTTGCTAGCTGTCGCGGGTTCGAGTCCCGCTGGGTGCATTTATTTGTGTGATGAGCACAAATGTTTGTACTCCAGTCGTGGGTATTTATATTTATTATATGTATATATTTAAAGTTGTATATATATAGTGTATCAACTATCTAGTATCCATAACACACGCTTTGTAGCTTACCATGGAACTAGATGGTGCTGTGTGTTAATGTCCCAACATATTTATTTATTTATATTATATTACATAGAGTAATACGTACGCTACTGTTAGGCACTTGGGGACACAACCGAGCGAAACGTGGGTAACTTGTTGCTAGGAACATCTGACTAGCAGTTGAAGGGATCAAACAAATACTTTGTTAATGTAGCTTAAAAATAATTGTATATAATATACTGAGCTTATAGTTTAATATAGTCAAATATTGTTTTAAAAGGTTTTATGATATTTATGTAAAACACCTAAATCTTATTCATATTCGCGACGTGCAAAGTAGATCAACTGGAATAGCAGCCGGGTTTTCGCCATTCCGTATGTTATCAGAACAATAACTATGCGAACTATTGTTCATAACTTCTGTACGCTTTACGTTTGTTTCGCAATTTGTTTCACACTTTTCCATATTCCAAAGACAATTTAATCGTTGCAACGCCTGTATTTGTGGTGTTCAATTGGTTGTTCTCTATTTATTGCAATTTCACACGTCGCCTCAGACTTGTCTGTATATGTATGTTCTTACAATATCTGCATTTGTTGCCTTCGAAGTGTTTTTGTTTTCAAAATATGGATTCTGGTAATGGCAATGGTAATATTTGGTGAAAGTGTTTTAAATAGCGCTCATTCGATCACTAATCTAGAAATCTCAAAGATTAATAAAGCTGGGATCATAAAATTTGCCACATAACACAAAAATCGTTAACACACGAACAAACATACACATAATACAAAAATCTTTATTTGTAATTAGTTTCATATAAAAATGTTTACTTTTTTTATGTGTTATAATAGCGATGGAACTATAGGCTATTTTTAAATTACCTATTGTGGCATATTGTTTTAAAGCATTTGTCTATACATCTATACATATATAATAAAATTGTAACTAAACCGAATCTGCACATTAAATATTTTTTGGGAAATCTTATTTAAATAAACATTATTATCGATACAGAGGCCGAATCTATAGTTTTTAGAATTTTACATATCAGCCACCGCGATAAAATAGTCGTTACAAACATCATAGTACGTATTTATGAAACTAAGGAACAAAATTATTTATTAATGTATAGAATTGCTTATAATAAGTAGACTTATTTACTTGTTAAAAAAATTTTCTTGTAGCTTGATGAATTCCATTGTTTTCATAAATGTTTGTTTTTAATTCTAAAGGTAACAAGCCGTAATGAAGCTTTTAGCTTGTATTAATTCTATTAAGCAACGTAATGGATAGGTACAAACCGGAAATTCGAAGCACTCAGTGGTTTATTTAGGTTAAATTATTTATATATGGCATAATAT